CGTTGTTCGGATTGCAATCGTCGTCATTCTTCTAATACAGTAATTCTGATGTTGCTTTTGAAAACCAAAATCATTAAGCATTTCTATGAAAGTAGAACATTCTTTACTAAAAAACACCAAGAGAACTAATCGAAAGATTTACAAATTTTACTGAGTTGAAATGTTTATTTTGTTCCGTAATTAATTCTTTACATAATAATGGAAACTTTATTTAATTTTCTAAACTTACAACTGAAAATCTCACTATATAAGGTAATTTACAATTGGCAACTCGATATATTACTATTAAATGATTTTATAACGTACGATTAAATTTACTCTATTACTCTATATACATACTTATACAATAAAAATTTTAAAGTTTCATCAAGTCTGGATTCACCCAGTTCTTATTTCGACAATAAAAAATGTAGTAGGTTGACCTTATTGCAATATTAATAATCTTTTTAATAACGTATCTTACATGAGCTTTGTCTAAATTAAAATGTTCTAACATGTCTATAAAACCAGAAGATTCTTTGTCAAACACACCAAGTGCACTAATCGAAAGGTTGATGAAGTTTACCGCATGATAATTTTTCTTTTGTTCCATAATCATATCTTTATACTTGGAGTATTTCCTGTTAACATTATTTCTGAGGTTAGTCTCATATCCAACGGTTAATTCCAGAATATACAGACAATTGTCTTTCGTCAAAATTAGTAAATCAGGCCGATAATCATTACCAGTGATTGTAGAAGGATTAGAGAATGACGACAAATCAGCATAAATGGTCTGGATATGTTCTGATGGAAGGTTATTAGCAATGAAATTTAGAATAATTAAATTTAGAATAACAATAATAATAATAATAATAATAATAATAATAATAATAATAATAATAATAATAATAATAATAATATTAATAATAATAATAATAATAATAATAAAAATAAAAATAATAATAATAATAATAATAATAATAATAATAATAATAATAATAATAAAAATAAAAATAAAAATAAGAATAAAAATAAGAATAAAAATAAGAATAAAAATAAGAATAAAAATAAGAATAAAAATAAGAATAAAAATAAGAATAAAAATAAGAATAAAAATAAGAATAAAAATAAGAATAAAAATAAGAATAAAAATAGGAATAAAAATAAGAATAAAAATAAGAATAAAAATAAGAATAAAAATAAGAATAAAAATAATGGAAACTTTATTACTTTCAATAATATATATATACACTACAATGATAAACTTCTCTTTACAGGTAGTTTACCAGTGTCTACTTGAATTAACACTCTACATAATAACAATATTAGTATGACATTAGTTGTGGGTTATCCCATTCTTTGTTACGCTTACAGAATATATAATACGAGGACCTGATACAGATATTAATAATTTTCCGAACATAGTACCTTCTACATTGTTCATCAAACTTTAGATCCTTCAGCATTTCGGTGAAATCTAGCGACGGGTGGCTGAAAACTCCTAATGAGCTAATCGATAAATTTACAAATTTCACTTTTTCATAATTTTTGAGCTGTTCGTTAATTAGATCTTGATATTTTTGTCTTTTTCGAGTTGCATTAGTGAGGAGATTAGATTCAAATCCGACGGTAAGTTCAAGTATATAAATACATTTGTTTTCAAGTGTTATCAAAAGATCAGGGCGCAATTCATCTCCGGTGATAACAGATGGACTGATATAGCCAGGAAGGTCAGCATAAAGGTTACAATGGTTCACATATTTAAGTATGGATGCTATGAAGTTAAGCACCGAATCATGACGCCACGTGAAACGTCCTTCATTTAGGTAGGTCTTGCATCCAGCGACGACGTGAAGAAGTGATTCTGGATTCAAACAAAACGAACATTCGGATGTTGGTGATATTCCCCATTTCAGAAGGTTTTTGCGAGTCGGAAGAGTGTTATTTATATACCGGATAGTGAAGTTAAATATATTCTTCGGAAGTTTACTCTGAACGGAGGACCATATAGAGTTGAACGAGAGTGTAGAATGTTTAATGATATTGGAGAAAAATGAGCCTTGTGAAATGAGGTGGTGTTGAAGCTTGTCTTCATGTTGTTTCCTGATGGTGTTTAATACGTCCTTGGTGTTTTTGTATTTGTCATATTGTACATTTTTGTGATTGCTAGTATCCTTCCAAAGGTTATTGATCGCTTCATTTGGCGACGACTTTAGGGCTTTCCGAGAAACAGTTTGGCATTGAAGGAATTTGGTTGAAGGTAGAATGATATTTAATCCAAATTTATTTTGGGGAAGTAGGACGTTACTAAGGGTTGCAGAAATAGGAAGTTCAAGCCATTTTCGGATATACGTGGACGCGATACTATCTAGTTTATCGTTAACCCAGGTTTTGCCTATGTCAGAAACAGTGAAGTGCCAAGAGATTTTGGAAAGCACATAACGACTGTATAAGAGAATTTTGTTTTTCGGATGTAATGGTAGATCATCAATTTCATTCAGGATATTAGTAAGTGTGTCATATACTTCAGATTTGTGATCTTCGTCGGACATGTTGAAATCAAAATAGCGACCTAAGTAGCGAAACGATTTACCAAGTTCAACACGTGGTACAAGACAGTTATTTATAAATAGTTTTGGGAGATATTGAATGGATTTGGTTACTTGTTTCCTAATGCCAAATGTTGAACATTTGTCTACACGTATTATCATTTGAGCCCACTGACACCAGATTGTAAAGCGATTAAGGAGCATTTGGTTTTCTTTTTCTTGGCCGCTAACAACAGCCGCGTCGTCGGCAAACTGGAACCAATGAAGAGGATTTAATGGGGTACCGTTTTCACTGGATTTCCAAAATCCAAGTTGACGGTATTTTTCCGATTTAATATGTTGGATAAAGGTATTGAAAGACATGTTGAATAAAAGAGGTGTTATCAAAAGATCAGGGCGCAATTCATCTCCGGTGATAACAGATGGACTGATATAGCCAGGAAGGTCAGCATAAAGATTACAATGGTTCACAGATTTAAGTATGGATGCTATGAAGTTAAGCACAAATAATAATAATAATAATAATAATAATAATAATAATGGAAACTTTATTTTGACATTTTATGTATATACAATTATAAATCTCACTAATTAAGGTAATTTATAATTGACTACTTGAACTATTAATTATTGATAAAACTATATTACAGGTATAAAACTAAGAGAAAGCTCATTCTTAAATGTTCATCAAGTCCGGATCGGTCCAAATAATAATAATAATAATAATAATAATAATAATAATATTAATAATAATAATAATAATAAAAATAAAAATAAAAATAAAAATAAAAATAAAAAAAATAATAAAAAAATAATAAAAAAATAATAATAAAATAATAATAAATA